GCGGTTGAATGTGTGACGTCAGCTCCAGGGGAATCCCAGCTCACCTTTCTGTGTGCCCTGGAGCCACACACTCTGCCCCTTTCCCTTGGGCTCCTGCTTGCCAGGAACCTCAGAGCCAGTGCCCACCAAGCCCCCTGAGTGCCAGCCTTGCATGGGGACGCCCCTGAGCCACAGGTCCCAGGCCACCTGGCCCCCAGCCCAGCCCCACTCCTGTGGGTCCCCTCCCACCCAGACTGAGGGGCTTCCTCTTGGTCTGTGGTGGTCAGTGTTACCCCACTGGCCAGGTGGCCCTGAGGCTGGCCCCACACCCAGCTCCCACCCTGTGGTCCACGAGGTCGGAGCCTCCTGTACTATCCTTGTTCCGTTTGAGTCCTGAACGCTCTAGAGCTTGTGCATCCAGGGGCCTCCCTTTGGACTCCCATCGCCGGCACCCCTCACTGTCTGCCCCGTCAGAACTTCCTCCAAGGTCCCAGAACCTCCTGCCCTCAGGGACCCCAGATGGACCTGTCCTCCCTGACCCTCATTCCTGTCCCCATGACAGAGCTGTTCTTGCCCAATCATGCACCCCCATGCCCCTCTCCCCGACGCCAGCCACTTCCACATCTCCCACCAGTTCCTCCTTGTGGGTCAGAGTTTCGAAGAAGCAGCTGGCTCCTCCTCACTTCCTCCTCCCTGGGGATCAGAGCCATTGTCCTGCCCAGGGCTCCACACCCCAGGACCCTGCCTGGCCAATGACAGCCCCCCAGCGGATCTCAGCCCACTGCTCAGAACAAGGTTAGTCCACTGGGGGCCAGGCTCTCCCATCTCCCAGGAGGGTGGGGGCCACAGCCAGGCCACCCAGTGTAGAGCCTCCCACTCTGCAGGCGGTCACCCTCCAACCCCCCACACTCCCACACTCCTCCCCGCCTCGTTCATAGTCTGGTTCTCAGCCAGACGTCCAGGCTTCTGTGCAGCTCCAGTCGATGGCTGGTCCACGCCGAGGCTTTCATTGTGTGTTCACTGGCCAAGTCCCGTGGAGGGAGCAGCTGGTGTGCGTGTGGAAAGGAAGGGGCTAGGTACCAAGGCCTCGACAAGGCCTGCCCCTGTGGAGGGCAGCCCAGGGCTGGCGGGCAGGCAGTGAGGGCCCAAGGCCAGTCTCCACCTTCACCAACCCACAGCTCCTCTCCTCCACAAGAATGGGATAAAAACCCTTCTTTGCCTGTCCTGCTTCCTGGGAAATTATAAAGGTGAAATGGCTTTGGGAAAGGTTAAAGGGCTGTCTACAAAGGTCAGAGGTCACCGGATGGTGGAGGACAACAGATGGAGGCACTCCCAGCTGGCAAGGAGACCACGGCAGACCACAGAACTGCCAGAGGTGGGGCTACAGAGGGTAAATTTAGTGAGGGCAGTGAAAAGCTGATCGAACAGCCTTTGGGGGTTGAGGGTCTGGGGCAGGGGCAAGAAGGGAGAGGAGGGGAGAAGGAGCTGGCACACCCCGACCTCTCCCCAGGAATAAGCAATAGGTTTGCTCAGGAGCGGCCCCTCCACACTTCTGTGCACACGGATGCCCTTTCGCTTCTCTCGGACCCCTTCCAGGCCTGCTGGAGCCCCCATCTCTTCTGAGAAGCCTTCTGGATCCCCCAGTTCACCAGGGATCACTCCACAGTGCCCAAAAAGGCCGGCAAAAGTCTTTCTTAGCCAGACTGGTCCCTACCCTAACCTATGCCCGGGTTTGGGGGCTGCGGAACCGAGCAGGGGTGAGGACGCCAGGGCTATGTCCCCACATGAGCCCTGTATGACCTCTGAAGATCTCTCGGGGTGGCGTCAGCCTCCTCATCACCGTGAAGGTGGGGAAGTGGGGACCATGCTCAGGTCTTCCCAGCCCTGTAGCCCCGGGGCGGTTTCCGGCACCAGGAGCGCAGGCGGGAGGGGGCGTGGTGCTTGCCCTCGGGATTTATGAGAACCAGACGTCGACTTTCCCCGTTGCGACATCTGGGCCTCCACGAGGCTCTCATTGTCCCCGCGGCGGAGGGTCCGGAAGAGCAGCAGCCCCCGCCAGGCGCTCGTCCCCGAGGGGTGCCCACGCCCCATCCACCCCACCATTCAGGCCACCCACCCGGCCCCACCCGCCGCGCTCCCGGGGCCACCACGCCGGGTCGGGGGACGCCTCCGCGCAGGGGGGTATTCCGGCGCCTGGCCTGGGGCTGGCTCCGCGAGACGCGGCGATCGCGGACCCTCGCCCCAAATGGGGCGCCTCTTGACCAGTTAAGAACCTCTCTGGGCCCCAGGCTTCTGCCGCCCCGCTGCCTCCGTCCAGAGGAAGTGAGCAGCAGCCGCCGGCGCCGCTCGGGCCCGGCGGAGGGCGGGGGGCGCGGCGCGAGGCGGACGAGGGGCGGGGCGAGGGCGGGGCGAGGGGCGGGGCGGGCCGGGGAGGCGCGCGCGGCGCGGGCGGGGGGCGCAAGGGGGAGCGGGCGGGGCGCGCGCGGCGCGGGGCTGGGCTCGGAGCGCGCGGGGCTCGGCCGCTGGGAGAGTCGAGCCGGGGCCGCGCCGGGCCCACGAGGAGCGCACTAGCCTTCGAGGTTGTGGACCAGGGAGGGAGGAGCCGCCGCCGCCGCCGGCTCCCGCCCGGAGGGAGCCCGAACCCGCCCTGGGCCATGAGCCGCCGGACCCGGGAAGCCCGGCCGCGGTCCGGGCAGCGCTCCGCCGGCGCCCCTGCCCGCCCGGCCGCAGCTGCGCGCCTGTAGGTACGGCCTGCTTGTCCTCAGTTCCCTCGTCCCCTCGTCCATCACCCCGGACCCCATCCGTCAGTCCCTAAGGGCGTGCGTGTGTGTGCGCACGGCTGCCCCGGGGAGCGCGGCCGCACGCGTCCTGGTCCGCGCGTGTCGTCTTTGTGTGCGCGGGTGGGAGGGAGCGCGGCGAGGAGATGCGCCCCGGCGGGGATCGGTTGCCAGACCGCCATCCCGGGCCGGGCGGGAGTGGCGGGAGGGGCTGAGCCGCCTCCGGAGCAGCTGCGCCCCCGTCCCCTCCTAGGGCCCAGGCCCCGCGGTTGGGCGAGAACAGCGGGCCCCCCGGAGGAGGGGTCTCTAGCCAGGGCAGAGGGGGGAGCCGGGGTCTCTTCCCTAGGCTGCGGGGGCGAGGGGAGGGCCAACCTGGAATGAGGGTGCTGGCCATGGGAGGGACCCCAGCCAGACCACTGTCAGCGGACCGGCACGCCCTCCATTCGGCCCAGGCCTTCTTTCTCACGGTCACCATTCTCGACCCGCCCACCCCGGGAGCTCTCCGGCAGCCTCCGATAGTGGGGAGGACGCCGAGGGTGCCCGAGAGGCGGGCGCCTTTAAGAAGGGGCGGGTTCGTGCCCTCCATTCAGGCCCTAGGGCCTCGGCCATTGATGAACCTGCGGGCAGCTCAGCGCGGGGCCGGGAGCCTGGCCAGACCCGCGGGCCGAGGCCAGGCCGAGGCAGGGATCCGTCCGGGGCTCCAGCAGCCCACGAAGTGAGGTCTTCAGGGGGAGAAGTCTTCAGTGAGCGGGGCCTCTCAGGAGCCGCACAGGGTGGACCGGGCAGTCTCAGGAGTGACTGTGAACATGGAAAAGGCAAAACTGTGTTCACACTGAGTTGGTGCAGGGGAGCCTCAAAGGCTAACCTGGGGTGACCCCTCTCTCTGCCTTTTGAGCCCCCATTATCTACCCTGTGAAATGGGGATGGTGCTGCCTACCTCCTAGCTGAGTGACCAGCAAGAGTGCCCACCCAACACAGGTCACTGAGCATGGGGTGAGTGAGGACCTCTGGGAGGGCAGCGGGGTGGAGGAGGTGATCTCCCCAAGAGGCTCTGGCTCCCTCTGTTGGGGATGTGGTCTGAACCCCCCTACTTTGCCCTCCACTTTGAACGAATCTTTTTCCGTCCTGGCCTCCTTGCCCCATCCAGGAGGCCACTGTTTGGAGGAGGGACCCAGAACCTTTCAACTCTAGGAACTTTGGGAGAGGTCTGGCGGTGGCACCAAGTGGCTGGTGTGGGTCAGGGCGGTTATGGGGTTCTCAGGGGCAGAGTTTCCCACAAGCTGCTTCCTTCTCCTCACCCCCTCTAGAGGGGGTGAATGATGGTGGGCAAGAGATTCTCATGCCAGGTAATGGAGTGGTTCTAAGTCATCGAATTAATACATATGCTTTTTTGTCACCTTCATTGTGAAAAATCTGTCTAGAGTTTCTAAACTCCTCCTTACTTAGTGGGTCTCCTAGGGAGAACCCCCGCACACACTCCCAAGGGTGGGCCTCCCTAGGAGGTGTCGGAGGTGGGACCCCCACCCAGGTGGAGCCTGGGCCCCCCAGGGCTGAGCATTGGTTTCGAGCTGACTCCTGCCAGGGTAAGGACGTCTTTGCCACTTCTAATGTAGTCTTCACAACAACACTGTGGGTTTGTCACTATTATTATCTCCATCTTGCAGAGAAGGAAACAGATTGAGAGAGGTGAAATGACTTGCCCAAAGTTACTCAGCCAACAAGCCAGGCCTCCAAACCACTTCTCTCTGACAAGAGCCTGGTCCTTACCTGTTGCGCTATCTACCCATCCTGGCTTGTGGGCGCCTCGGGCCTCCTGGCGGCTGTCCCCATGGGATTCTGGTCCAGTCTTGGAGCCTGCCTCGCTTCCTGCTTCTCGCCGTCCATGTGGGACCAGAGGGGCGGTGGCAGCTTTGGAGCCTGGGGAGGTTTCTCTTCCCCCCTCATCTTGTTGGGTCTGTTTTTATGGCTGTGCTCTGTCCCAGGGGAGAGCAGGTGTGACTCCTCAACATCTAGAAGAGGTCTCAGCCCGCACCTGTTGGGCAGCGCGAGGCAGGGCATCAGTATGTGGGAGGCTCCTCTGGGTGAAGCAGGGTTTGGACCCCGTTCTTCAGATATTTCCAACACTCTGTGTGGGTATAACACCCAGCTGGGGGCTCATGGTCTGGTGGAGAAGACAGGCCACAAGCCATGTGGTGTTGTGGGGGGGGGGGGGGGGGTCCAGGGAGGAGGTAGGGACAGGATAAAGGGGAGCGTTCTCAAGGCCTCCATGGGCTCGGGGCCCCGCCAGCTGCTGGGGCAGAGGAGTAGAGCAGGTGGGGCAATGCCGGGCTGAGTGCTGACACTCCAAGCAGAGGACAAGCAGGGGCTGGAGGAAGAGGGTGTATTGGAGCTTGGATGTGGTGAGTTTGAGGTGCCTGGAGATCGGCCAGGCCGGGAGTTCACTTGCTCTGAGAAAGGCCGAGGGAACTTGACAAGCATCCTCAGTACCCAGAGTTCCAGCGTGCTCAGAACTGAGGGGAGGCGCTGGAGGGCTCAGTTAGGGGTCACCAGCATGTGTGTCATGAAAAAGTCAGAAGGCAGACTGGTGGGCTGAGTGGTGGGGGTCGAGGGGGCTGTCTTGCAGGTTTCAGGGGCTGGGCCAAGGGCCAGAGCTATCTGGGAGGGCTGTGAATCAGAGCCTAGGTGAGATCCATGAGACTGGGAGAGAGGGGGAGACCTCGAGGCTCAGGCCAAGGCTGAAGAGGGGTGCCTCTGCTCTGCAACCCCAGGAGGGCAGGGCCAGAGCGCCTAAAGCCATCCCCGCCTGCTCTCCACCTACAGCGCCTGTCCAGGAACTGTCCAGCACCAGGTGCTCCTGAAGGAGGATGGGCTTCCCTCAGAAGCCCCTGGGCCCTGGTGTAGCTTATGGTCCTGGGCCCTACTCCTTGCTCAGCTAACATGTGCTTCCTGCAGGGCCCAGCTTTGGGTTCCCCTGCCCTCCAGCCTGTCAGAATGCCCCCTTCTCTGAGGGTAGGCATCTCCTTTCCCGAAGCAGGACTTGGGTCCCCCACTGTGCTCTCAGAGTGAGAGCTCCCCAGGGACAGGGCCCTGTTGGGAGCATCGTGTGCTACAGAAAGGGACAGATCTGAACTTGGCTCCACGCTCTCCTCTCACCCATTCTGTGGCCCTTGACCCACCCACCTGCCTCCTGACAGGTAGCAGACAACCAGTAGAAATCCAGTGAGTGACGAGCCCCTCGCCTCCCTGGCCCGAAACCCATTCCCTCATCTGTGCAATGGGAGAATCCTCTCTTCCTGGCAGAGAAGATGTGAGGGAGAAGGGCTTTAAACAGGGGCATAGCCCATTTGGATGTGGGTCCTAGAAAGAATACCTTGGCCACACTATGGAGCATGAATTTGTTGGAGGTTGGAGCAACAGTGGGAAACAGGCTGAGGAGGAGACCTCTGCAGCCATCTGCCCAGAGCAGAGGGGGAAAAAAAGGAAACGGATGCAAGACATTTAGGAAGTAGAAGCAGAAGAGCTTTGATTTTTAAACAATTCACTTATTTCATCCTCATGACAGCCCTTTGAAGTCAGTGCTGTTATTACCCTCCGTTTGAACAGGTGAGGAAACTGAGGGCCCAGGAGCCCAAGTCACTTACCCACCGTCACATAGCCAGGAAGCAGAGGAGCTGGGATTCAAACCCGGATGGCCTGGCTCCAGATCTCAGGTTTTGAACCACTCCCCTGTCCCAACGTGTCGAATGACCAGATGTGGAGTGTGATGGGAGCAGCTGTGGGGTGCAGCTATGGGGCCCCCTATGATGGGGAGTCTGCAGGGCCCAGAGCCAGCAGGGCTTGTCAAGGTTGGGGGCATCAGTGAAAGCTAGGGGGCTCAGCAGAAGAGTTGCCACCCTCCCACAGTGTCAGAGGCTGGGAGTTGTGTGAAAGGCATGAAGGTGTGCTGGGCACAGGGCTGCTGTACCATCTTTAACAGCTGCCTTCCAGCAATGCTCCTCGGCACAGGCCTTGGGCCATGAAGCAATGTGAGTACAAGAGCAGGATGGTCCCACTTTACAGCTATGGAAACTGATGCTCAGAAAAGCCAGGACCACCTGAGTGCCCCACCTCCCCACAATCATACAGCGGCAGCATCCCAAGGGCTCTTGATGTGCACCTGTCACTAGTTAGAGCTCCCTCCCATACCCACTCTGCAGCAAAGTCCCAGCAGGTTCAAGGGTGTGAAGACCAGAAGCCATGCCCACTTCTGCCTTCTGCCAGGGTCATGGTTTGCACAGATATTCTGGTTGGGAGGGGTCGGGGAATTCCAGCCACACCCCACTCTTGCAGGAACCTTGGTTCAGAGCCTGCCCTGTGGGGAGACTTTCTGGGGGTGGGGTGAGGTGGGGAGTAGACTTGAGAACCAACGCCCAAGGACCCAAAAGTGAAAGAGAATGTGCCCTGTGTGCTGTCTGCCTCCATCTGCAGGGTAGAAGACTCAGGCAGCCAGCAGGCAGAGGTATCCTGGCTGAAGGACCGGGCTGCCCGGAGGTTGCCTCTGTCCTACAGGGGGAGGGGTGCAGAGAGAGGGCTGGAGGAGACTGTCCCACAGAGGCCAGGAGAGCAGCTGGAGGAACAGCAGGGTGGAGGATGGAAAGAGCCTTCACTGTAAAGTGCAGCGTTGAGTGGGCCGGGCCAGGCCAGTGGTCCTGAGAAGCCCAGAGGAGAGGACTCCGTGGGCATGATTGGGGCTGGCTTCCTTGAAGACAGGGAAGAGTATCTGGCATTCCTCTGAACCCCGTGATGAGTAAGGGTGCAGAAGAAGGGCGGGGCATTTTGGTGAAAGATGCTGCCCAGGGGCAGCCTGGCGGGGCAGGCTTCAGGGTACTGTGGCTAGTTGGCACTGTGGGGCCTCCTTCCATTCCCTGGGGTCACTTGTCTCCTGTGGTGGGGAGGCCGGCTCCAGCTGGGGCTCCCCAGGCCGCTGCCCACTGTGTGGTGGATCGATTGGTCACTCCTTGGCCCATTAGAGGGGGTGGCTGGGCAGCCTCATCAATATTTTAAGGAATGACCTGGCCGTGGGGTCCGGAACTGTGTGCCAGCAGGGCTGACAACTGGCTTTTTTTCTTTTCCAATTGTCAGCGCTATTTTTACCACCGGAAGGCCAGCCGCCCCCTCTCTCAGGCGTCTAACCGGGTGGGGGTGGGGGGTTCTCCCGACTGGGTTCCTGGCAGAGGGGATAGGAGAGTCTGTGGCTTGGAAAGGCAACAGGAAGGGACTCGATTAGGCTTCCCCTGCCCTCCTCATCCCCTGCCCCACCTCCCTGAAGCCCTATTCCATCCACCTGGGCCCTGGCTAGATGGGAGAAAAAAAACATTTTGCCAGGAGGAGAAGCCAGACAGCCCAGCTGAGCCTCGAAAAACCCCAGGGTGATGAATTAAGGAAGAGTGGCCTGCCCACCCAGGGCCCTGGGGAGCCAGCACCTGATCCCCGGACCCGGGTGGGCTCCCTTTATCTACAGGCCCGGTCCTCATAGAAGCCTGTGAAGGCGAGAGGCAATCACTTGCCTACCCGTGGTCCCAGTGGGGTGACAGTGGGACCCCGGTCTTCAGTGTCCAAGGGCCGTGACAGTCAGGGACCCCTAGAAGCCACTGCTCCAGCCCCACATTTTTTTGATAAGAAGGCAAGGCAGAGCACAGATTTCCCACTGCCCAAGCAGACGCTGTCCCGCAGGACACTGACTCAGCAGGTCTTCTCTTGCTCCCTGGGGCTGTAGTAGGAGGAGCTGGGACCCTGCCCACAGAAGCAAGAGGGCCAAGGACCACAGGGACTGTGAGAGCTCAGGGAGGGAGGGCGTGTAGGGGGAAGAATTCCTGGAAGAAGAGAGGGTTTTACACAGTTTCAAGGCCAAGTAGAATTTGAACAATGGCATGCGCTGCATGATGACATGTCGGTCAACAAGGACTACATATACGACGGTGGTCCCCTGAGATCAGTACCATGTAGCCTAGGTGTGTAATGGGCTATCCCATCTATGTTTGTGTAAGTGCACGCTATGACGTTCACACCACGATGAAACCGCCTAACGACGCATTTCTCAGAATGCATCCCGGTCGTCAAGTGACGTGCAACTGTACCGGGCAGAGTGAGGAAGGCAGTCCAGGCAGGAGAGGAGGACACAGGGAAAGACTGAGGTGGGAGTTCCCAAGGAATCCCTGGCGGAGGGAGAGCCCGAGCCAGCTGGATTCAACTCAGAAAACTTCCAGGCCAGTCCGGACAGTGGGGGCTGGGTAACTTTATCCACCCTGCTTCTGGTACCTCGGGGTTCCCCTCCCTCTAAAGCCGAGCCCTCTTCCCTGTGCCTTGGAGCCCCCCCTTCGCAGAGACCCATGTCTGGGCCTCAGTCTCCCCATCTGTAACTAGATGTGGGGCTCCCTGCGGGCTCTGCTGCTTGCAACTTTTATCTCTGGCTGCTCAACCCCTGCAACACAGAAGTTCTGGCTGGACCCAGGGGACACCAAGGGCTGCTGTGCTGGGCATCAGACCCATAGGCCCCTGGCCAGCCAGCAAGCGTGGGTGGGAGAGGTGAAAGCAGGCCCAGCCTCCCAGGGCCTCCGAGGCCAGCTCCTGCCTGGGACCTGGCCACAGCCACCATACCCTTGGCAGATTCCTCTGAGTGGCACCCCTACCCCAGTGAGAGTGAGCTGGGACCTCCCTGTGAGAGCCTCTCTCCAGGGCCCTGTCCCTCCACTCTGCCCCTCCTCCCTGCCAGGGATATTCCCAGCCTGCAAGAAGAGTGGAGGGGATGGGGGTTGATCCCTGAAGATGCAGCACGGGGACCAACTTCCTCCCTCTTCCCATCTGCCCCGTGTGGGGGCATAATTATGTCAAACAGAGGCGTCCACATTTCATGCTTGCTCCCGTGCTGGCCCTTCCCAGGCTGCCATGTCACCCGGTCTTACCTTCCTGGTGGTCCCAGTGGTCCATGGGGAGCACTGCCCTGCTGAGTAAATGGATGGGCTTGGAGCACACAGACAGGGCCTCCTGGCGTTAGCTGCAGGGCTTCTCCCTGACTCTCACCCCCCAAAATGCGCCCTGTCCGCAGGTCAGGCCACAGCTGCGGCTCTCCACCTTCCCTGGAGGCCTCGGTGGTGGTGGCACGTGCGTTCCTGCCTCCACCCCACTCCTGGCATGTGACTCAGGGCTGCCTTCTGCCCCCAAAGGGTGCCTATGCCAGATGGGGACTCAGACATGGAAACGGACACCTGGAATACCCTGCAGTTGGCCCCTTGCTAGAGGGATGGACAGGAGGGGACTGTGGGAGCTCAGAGGAGACACTCATGCCACCTGGGCAGGGGAGGCATGGAGAGGTCGGGGAAGGCTTCCTGGAGGAAGAGGCCCTTGGATTAATTATTGAAGGATGAGTAGGAGTTAGCCAGATGGAGAAAGGAGGAAGAGCAGGGCAGGAAAAAGGCCCAGCATGAGCCACGCTCATGGGTGCCTCAGCCTCCCTTCTCCCAGCCCCGCCCCCCATGTCCTGACAAGTCTTCCTCCAAGTTGTTGCTCACGCCTGCAGTGAGGTCACTCTGCAGCCTCCATACGGGCCCCGCCTCCCCTAGGAAACCTTCTTAACTCCCTGCTCCCCTCACCCCCAATACCAGGGCAGGAGTCTCCGAGGAGACCTGCTGGTTTGCAGAACTGTCCTCTGTGCTTAGTGGCCTCATCAAGTGGCCCCTTTCCTCCCTGGGCTGTCCTGTGGTTATTGACTGCAGATCATGGCGAGGCTGCCCCAAGGTGAGAGGGAATTCCCACGGTGCCCTGTGGCCCAGAGGCCCCACGGATGATCTCACAGAAGTGGGGCAGCTATTTTTACCGGCGTTTAATTACAGAGTTGGGATCCCAGGTCAGAGATGAGATGGTGCTTCCAGGGGCTGTGAGGGGAGGGCCATGCCAGGAGATGGGGGGGGCTCCTGGGAGGGCAGGCGGCGGCGTGACCCTGCTCTCAGTGCCCCTAATGCTAGACAGGCCCCCTCAGATAGGGGCTCCCCAGGGCAGGGCCTAACCACATCACCCCACTTATTCTCCCCGCGTGATTTTCACCCTGGCCCGGGAGGCAGGGGGGATGCATAAAGCCAATGGGCTGGGCCTGCGCCCCAGGGCTGATGCCATCTTAGGGAGGAGGAGGCAAGGCCCCCAAATGACTGGACACACACCCTATAGTTTGATGATCCAGGGTGATCAAGGACGGAGGGCCCTGGGAAGAGAAGGAGGCAGCTGGGTGAGGGGATGGCTGGGATTCTGGAGTGGGGCCTCTTCAGGAAGGTGGGATTGGATGGGAGGTCTGGAGGGGCAGGAGGGCAGGAGGCGGGAACACAAGTAGAGCGGGCAGGCCGAGAAGTCTGAGGAGCAGCACCTTCCATGCCAGGAGGACAAATTGGTCATACTGGATCCATACCGGGAGGTGACCCCTAGGCCTGGAGTCAGGGCAAGAATCCCAGGCCCGTCACTCACAAGCTGTGAGTTCTCAGGCCCCAAGTGAGGGCTTAGGCACCGACGGCTGTGACACACCTGGGGTGCTGAACACATTCATTTCTTCATTTATTCATTCAGTGTTTACTGATCACCTGCCATGTGCCCAGCATGGGGGACACAGCCACTTAGAAGACTCAAAATCCCTGCCTTGTGGAGCTGGCATTCTCAGGGGAAGGGTGCGGTGGGGTGTTGGGGTAGGACAACACAACCAAGTGAGTGAATAAATGGTATGTCAGGTGGGGCTGCCTGCACTGCTGGAGCAGGAGGATTTCTTATTCTCAGTAGGGTGGTGGTCAAGAAAGGCTATCGGAAACCGGAAGGAAATGAGAGAGTGTGGGAAAAGAACATTCCAGGCAAGGGCAAGAGAGAAGGGCAAGTGCAAAGGCCCTGGGGTGGGACCCAGCTGCAGCCAGAGCAGAGTGGGCAAGGAGAAGAGTGGCAGGAGATAAGCTCAGAGAGGTAAATGGAGGCAGACCAGGTGAGGCCTTGGGGGCCATCGGTAGGACTCTGGCTCTTACGCTGAGTGGAATGGGAGCCATTGCAAGATTTTGAGCAGAAGAGGAACTGATCTGTCTTATGTTTTAAAAATGATGACTGGGTTCCTGGGTGGAGAACAGACCATAGAGGGGTGAGGTCAGGTTTCCGGGGCCCAGTGGAGAGGCTGCTAAAGGAGTGAAAGCAAGAGAAGGGGTTCTGAGGGTCCCTGGACAGCAGCCTGGACCAGGAGGAGGGGGGCAGGGGTTGGGCTCTTGGCGTATTTCACAGACAGAGCCATGAGCATTGCACATGACTTCTTCCTGTGCACCAGGCTGTGGGGGTCCTCAGAAGTTACCTAGGAAAGCATGGGGACCCCACTTCAAGGCACCTGTCGTCCCAGCGTCCTTGGCCAGCCCCAGGAATGACCTCGGGGTTCCCTGAGGCTGCTGTTTGAAGAAGGGGCTCCCCTCTTGCAGACACTGCTTCGGCCTCCCTGGCTGTCCTCTTCACACGCTGGCGCTGCTCCGAATGGCTGCATGTTGTAGCCGCCGCCCACCACACTCATGCAGACACACACAGCCCCAGGGAGCCCTGGGGGAGCTAGCCACGGTGGGGGGACAGGGGCGCTCTGATCAGACGTCAGAAGCTCACTCCGCGCCCTTCTCGCCTGCAGCCGCAGGGGGCTGCGATGGGACGGGAGCCATGAATGGTGCCGCCCCAGGCCCCGCCGCCGCCGCCGCCCCGGTCCCGGTCCCGGTCCCGGTCCCGGACTGGCGGCAGTTCTGCGAGCTGCACGCGCAGGCGGCCGCCGTGGATTTTGCGCACAAGTTCTGCCGCTTCCTGCGCGACAACCCGGCCTACGACACGCCCGACGCTGGAGCCTCCTTCTCCCGCCACTTTGCCGCCAACTTCCTGGACGTCTTCGGCGAGGAGGTGCGCCGCGTGCTGGTGGCCGCGCCGGCGTCCCCCGAGGCCATGGAGCCCGAGGCGGCGGGGCCCCCGGCGCTCAAGGCGGCGGCGTACGGCCACTCGCGGAGCTCGGAGGACGTGTCGGCGCACGCGGCGGCCAAGGCCCGCGTCCGCAAGGGCTTCTCGCTGCGCAACATGAGCCTGTGCGTGATGGACGGCGTGCGCGACATGTGGCACCGGCGCGCCTCGCCCGAGCCCGACGTGGGGGCCGCCCCGCGGGCCGCCGAGCCCCCGGCCGAGCCGCGTGACAAGTGGACGCGGCGCCTGCGGCTGTCGCGGACGCTGGCGGCCAAGGTGGAGCTGGTGGACATCCAGCGCGAGGGCGCGCTGCGCTTCATGGTGGCCGACGACGCGGCCGCGGGCCCCGGGGGCACCGCGCAGTGGCAGAAGTGCCGCCTGCTGCTGCGCAGAGCCGTGGCCGGTGAGCGCTTCCGCCTCGAGTTCTTCGTGCCACCCAAGGTGAGCGCCAACCCCCACCCTGGGTGACGGCGGAGGGGCGTGGGCAGGGGCTTTGGGGACCGCACTGCCTGGTCTGGTTGGCGGGACGGAGTATTCAGTGTCAGGAACCTGGGATGTAGGCCCCACTCTGCCTTTCCAACAAATGACCTCTCAAGCTCTCTTTCCCTGCCTGCCAGGTGTGGGAAGGACTCTCTGGCTGCAGGAGGGGTTCCGGGGTACTGTTCTTGGTGATGGGAGAGAACCTGGCTGCCTGCCTCCCTCTTCCGCTCCTGGGGCCTCTGGGTGGCTGGAGCCTTCCAGAGAGGAGGCCTTTGGGGATGGGGCAGGGAGCGACAGTGGCACACTCAGAGAGGCCCCCCTCGCCCAGAGGTCTGCAGCTGGCTCCGTGGAATCTGCTGGTCTCCAGCTTGGCCGCCAGGCCAAAGCCAAGCCCCTACCTGGTTGGCCCTTTTCTGACCCGGGTTTCAAACGCTAGGTTTCTAGCTGTCACCAGCATTGCTGCTCACCTGAGTGCACCGTTCCCACCCTTGCCCTGGGGGCAGCTTTGGGTCTCATCCAGGACAGCAAACCTGCCTTGTCTGGAAAGTGGGAGTACGTGTAATAACAGTGCTCGCTTTCCTAGAGCCCACTGCATGTCAGGCCCTCAGTCTGGGAGACAGGCTCATGGTCTCAGTGTCCAGCAAGGTAAGTGTCGTGGTCCCCAGGTCACAGAAGAGAAAACAAACGAATACTCAGAGAGGGAGTGTGGCCTGCCCAAAGTCACACGGCTGGTAGGTGGCAGAGCTGGGCTAATTTTACCCACCACCCTGGTGGTCCTGGGAATGAAAGGAGCGTGGAGGTGGGAGCTCCTTGTACACTGGGAGGCTGGGAAAGGTGGGAGGTTGTGCTGGCGCAGCAGCCAGCAGCACCCCCAGGAACCACCCAGGGCTCCACCCACCTCTGGGCCCACTCTGTCCCCAGGTGCCTTCAGCCATCCTGAGTCTCTGCTCTTTCTCCATCTCCCAGGCTGTCAGGACCCTGGGTGCTCCTCCTGTCCTCTCTCTGGAGGTGCAGGGTATGGGCTCCCCAAGGCTGGATGCCCATGAGCCCCACCATGAGAGGTGACTTCCCAGGGACACACTTTACTCTCTGAAGAGCTTTCTCTCCAAGTCTCAGGACCTGCAGACTTCCCAAGGGCGGAATGTGCCCCCACCTTTAGGTCCCTGAGAGGAATCATAGAGCACGAAGCCCAACTCCACCGCTTGTCACACAGGGAGCCCAAGGCCCAGGGAGGGCTGGGGAGTAGGATGGACTTTGTCCAGGGTCACCCAGAGGTCAGAGGCACAGGCCTAGGGCTTCACCGCCTCGCCTGCCTCTGGGCCCTGAATGACAGTCGCAGCTGCGGGGCTGTAAATAGCTGCGTCGCTGCCCTCCGGGGAGGGAATGCAGCAGCTGGTGCCTTCTCCCTTAGTCCCTCCCGGCCACCATTCACCCCTGGCAGAGGGCAGAGCTCTTGAGGGGCCACTTTCCCAACCTCTGAGGAAGGCGGGTGCGTTCCTTCCCGTGATCTAGCCTCAGACCCCCCTTTTGTCATGCAAATGTCTGAATTCAGGAGTGAGTCCCTGTGGGAAGGTGGCTCCTACCACAGCAAGGGCTCCTGGTGAGTTTCCCAAATGTGCTGGGTCCCAGGGTGAGCAAGCCCCCAAGGCACCCCTGCTGACACCCCCACTACCTTTTAGCCGCCTTCTCCCACCCACAGTCCACGTCTCCTCTTGCCCCTGGAGGCAGAGCTGCATTCTTGGAGCTGACAGGAGCTTGGGGTCTGCAGCTCAGGGGCTCTTTCCTTGGGGTCCTCAGACTTCCCTCTCACACAGCCCCATGAGTCAGGTCTCCAGCCTTCTGCCCCCTCATCCTGCAGGAAGAGTCTCCTGGACCCCAGGTCCCCTCATAGCCCTGTGCCAGACCAGCCCTGGGGACCCTTTGCCATTGGGGAGCCACCAGGAGGCTGGCATTTGCAGGACTGGATGGTAACAATGGGGTGAACACTAGGTGCTGTGGGGCCATAGGCGGTTTTGGAAGCACGAGTTGTGTGAGCAAAGGCCTGGAGTCTGAAACAACCCGATGGTTCTGTCCAGGGAAGTGGGAGCAGTGGGGTGTGGCTGGAGCAGGGTGAAGGCAGTGGGGCCAGGTCACGCAGGCCTTAAACGCCGGGCAGAGGGACCAGCGCCTGTGGCCAGCGGGAGCCCGGCCGAAGCCCAGTCCAGGCCTGCCCTGTGGACCCCTCTCAGCTCCACCCACTCCAGGACTGTGGCCCCTGCCCCAGGGGCTGGTGTGATGGCCTGCCAAGGTCAGCCGAGCCCCTCGGTCACGGCTCCAAGCCCAGCCCTGCGCCCACTGGATGGCAGCCAGCGCTGCCAGGAATTCCCATCCGCCTGCCCACCCGACGTGTGGCCCTTCCCTTTCCTCCTGAGAAAGTCCCTGTCCCAGAGCCCAAGCCCTGCCGGGAATCTCAGTCTCAAGCCAGCCCTGGTTGGGGGGAGTGGGGGGGGGCCCTCGGACCATGGCCAGGAGCTTTGGGGCAGAATGGGAGGGCCAGGCGCATGGTGCCCCCCCTGGAGCCCTGACAGCTCACCCTGGTTAAACCCCACGCTAGGCCCTTTTCCTCCACCTGGAGACATGTCCCTGCCTGGCTCCAGGAGCCCCATTCTGAGTCGGGGGCTCCAGAGCTGAGCTCTGGAAAGTCTGGTCTAAAGGAGGAGACCAGCATTTTTCTTTTAAATGCACTAGAATAGACTAGAAAATACCATACTCCATCACACACAGTCAGGGTAAATATTGTCAGGTGAAACCCTTGTTTCAGAGATATTTTTGCCTATGTGTGTACTGGGTCACAAGGTCAGATGTATTTCTTACTATGGGTCAAGGTCAACAATGTGAAACCCAGAGATCTGGTGGGTGCCCTGGGCAGAAAGGCAGCCTGGGCGGAGTTCAGCCCTCAGGGCTTACAGGTGGGAGATCCAGATGTTAGTGCCAGCTCTGTCCCCGAATTGCTGTGTGACTTTATGGGGAGGTCCCTTTGTTTCCCAGAAACTCCCTCAGCTTACCCATCTGTGAAATGGGGATTGGAACACCTCCAGGCCTGAGCTGCATGGCGTTCTGGGCTGAGGGCTGCTCTGACCTCTGGGAGGAGGGGAGGGGAGAGGGTTTCAGGAGGCCCTGGGGCCTCTCTCTCACTGCCCCTTCCTCTGGCCCCCCAGGCCTCCAAGCCCAAGGTCAGCATCCCTCTCTCGGCCATCATCGAGGTCCGCACCACGATGCCCCTGGAGATGCCAGAGAAGGACAACACGTTCGTGCTCAAGGTGAGCCCCACCCCGGGCCCCGCAGATCCTCTGGCTGCCCCAGGCCACCTCCCTCACGGTGGCACAGCTTGAGGTCACTGTAGGGGGTGTGAGGGTAAGGGGTAAGGGCGGTGGGGAGGGAGCCCTGATGGGGGACCAGGACCCTCAACAGATATCTAGCACATAGCTAGGTTTTCCATCTGGACTTAGTCTCTAAAGCCAAGTGCCCAGGTGTCCCCACCCCCTGGGCCTCTGTTCCCATTTCCTCCTGGGCCTGGGTGAAGGTCTTCTGGGTTTCACTTCCTCCCCTCCCTTCCCCCACCGCGGCCAATACACGCCCACTACCCACCCCCCGGGTGGGAACGGTCACCAGCCTGCAGCAGGTATGCAAATGTTCCTGTCATAGGGTACTGGAGTGTGGGAACCCGCCTGGTCCCACAGAGGGCACAAAAACGCAGAGGGTGGGCGGCCAGGCACCCTGGTGGGTCTGGGGGCAGCTCGTCCTTTTCCCAGGCCCCATGTCACCGGGGTGGCCTCCTCGGGTTGCTGAGGACACGGCTCCAGGCTGCCAGGGCTGTCGCCCTGGGCCTCCTCAAAGGATTAGAGGGTGTTCGTGAGGCCAAGTCCTCAAGGAGGCCTGGCCTTGTTCCGCCCACCCAAAGCTACACGGAGCCCCCACCCTCCCCTCCAGGCTCCTGGCTGGGCTTATGTTTTTACCCATCCCTATTTGCTTAGTCACGAACTCCCTTATTTATTTAGCAAACATTTGCCAACCCCATACCCTGAGTCACCCCAGGCTGGGAGCTGGGGACACAGCCCCTCCCTGCCTGGCATTCTTATCTGCCGGGCAAGACAGGTCCACAGCCTCACCCCCCACTCTGCTGCTGCTCATGCTTAGCAACCCTGAGGCAGAGGGTTCACCTGCTGGCCCACTCCAGGCCTCAGTTTCCCCATCTGTTCAGAGAGGGGTTGAAGGCGGTCCCTGCGTTTTAACTGAGGGACACACAGGAAACTGAGAGCACAGGACCTTGGCTTCACAGAGACCTGGGTCAGGTCCCAGCGCTGCTGCTGAGTGCTGCTGTGACTTGGAGCAAGTTACTTGACCTCTCTGACCCTGTCTTTTCATCTGTACCATGGGGAATACATGTCGCCTCCCTCACAGGGCTGCTGAGAGGAGGTCATCAGACAACGTTTGTGGAGGGTGCCGCTCGGCCTGGCCCACAGCAGGGGCTGCCTCCTCTCTTCCCTTCTGGAGGCTGTTTATCCCAGGGCGTGGCCACAGAAGTGGCGTTCCAGGCACAAAGGTGTGGGAGTCCCTCACCTCAGTGTGCCGGGCCAGCGGGCCCCTCAGTTGACTTGACGGTTGTGGTACCCGGGCATGGGTTGGGGATGCTGGGCCACCCATCGCTTCCCCAGCCAACATGGCCGCCTCAGAAGCTGCACCTCCAGGGCCTGAGGACCTGAGGTCCACGGGGCTGGACGTCATCCCCAGTGATCCCCAGTGGTAGGCCTGGGAGGGTGGGACTGCTGAGAAGATGGGCTGCCACTCCACCCTGGGAGCCTGGCCTAGGCTTGGGGTGGTGCCTGATGGTGACCCCACTGTCCTCAGGGCTGCTCACCCTAGTGAGATGCCGACGGGGAATGGGGCTGAGCCATTTCTCCTGGGGTCCGGAGCCCCCTGCTGAGGGTAGAGGAAGTCAGGGTGCTGACTGATCTGGACTGGCCACCCCCTCCAGGTGGAGAACGGAGCAGAGTACATCCTGGAGACCATCGACTCCCTGCAGAAGCACTCATGGGTGGCTGACATCCAGGGCTGCGTGGATCCCGGGTGAGTGCCCAAGCCACCCTAGCATGGGTGGCCGAGGTGGGGGCCGGACTGGGGTGTGCCCTTGGCCCAGCCTTCACAGGGAGCAGCCTTCCGGTGAGGGCAGGAGCTGAGCTCGAGAAATGGACTTGTCTCATGACAATCCTATGCAAGTCGGTGCTGGCCAGGATCAGCCGTACCCCCACCCCCACCCTCACCCCAGCAGGCTCTGAGGCCCGCTCTGCAGGGCCAGGGCCTGGGGACCTGGAAGGAAATCGGACCAAGTCTTGTCCTCACCCAAGGGGAGCCTGAGATCACTAAGAGTTAGCCAGTGATGGGGAGAGCCTGAGAGGCCGGGCATGGACCAACAGAGGGGAGACCCCTTGCCCAGCCCTGGAGCTCAGAGACGGTCTGTGGGTAGAAGTGCTCGCTGTCTCCGAGGCTTAAAGAAAGAGTGGGCCTGAGCCAGCAGAGAGGGTTGTGGCTGTGGGAGGGCAGAGAGAACAGCCCAGCCAAAGGTATGGAGGCGTGCCAGAATTTGGGACTCACAGGGGACGTCAAGGCCTTCGGGTAGCTAGAATTAGGGCTGGTGAGGAGGGGACTCCATGAGAGCCCAGGAAGATGGTAGGTCGGGGGCAGTGGGGAGCCATGGTTAGTAATAAGCAGAGGGCAGCCAGGGTCAGCTGTGTAAGGAAGAGCAGCAGGGAGGCTGGCTGCACCATCCAGGAGCCATCCAAAGCCAGGAGGAGGAGGGGCAGGCGGGCCGGCACAGAGCATTTGGCAACAGCTCATCAGGCTAATGGGGTGAGCCAAGCCCGGGGGGAGGGGCTGCTGCTCTCTAATTAACAGCTTCATTTAAGGCAGCACAATTAAAGTCCTCAGTGCATCTCAGGCCCCCAATCCCCGAAGTGCTTGTAATCCCTGCCTTGCCACCCTCCCCGCCATGTGCTCTGCAGACTTTCCCCAGCCCCTGCAAAGGTGAACCACACTTTACAGCATTTCAGAGCTGGCGGGGACCCAGACACCCCGTGTCACAGACGGGGAGACAGAGGCCCAGGGCAGGGAAGGGAGCTGCCGTGGCCCCCCCACCACCATGCCCTGCCACCATTTGAGGGACTCCGTGGGATCCCAGGAGGAGGCCAGCCCCTTGTGGGTTAGTGGCCAGGGGTCGTGGGCCCTCAAGGAGGACTGCGCCCACTTGGAGACCTCTCCATATGGCCCCATCACTCTCATGGTGGCCACAGAGCAAGCTGAGGGAGTGACAGAGGGACATGGGGGCACAGGTACCCCAGGAGAGCAGAGGGCAGGATAGGGCTGATGCTGGCTGTGGAACTGTCAGCCACGGCCTGGCTCCATGAGCAGCCCGTGGTCCTTGTCTGTGTCCCACAGCAGGACATGGTTGTGCTTTGTTGCCTCCACAGGGACAGCGAGGAAGACACCGAGCCCTCCTGTGCCCGGGGAGGCTGTCTGGCCAGCCGCATGGCCTCCTGCAGCTGTGAGCTCCTGACGGACGGTAGGTGCGGGCAGAGATGGCTGGAGTGACGGAGGGCAGGGTTAGAGGGAGTGGTCACTCAGAGATGGCCAGACCAACAGATGTGCTTCTTACCTGCCACTTCTCCAGCAGTGGACCCGGCCCGGCCCCCAGAGACAACAGCAGCTGTGGTGACAGCCCCGCATAGCCGAGCTCGAGATGCAGTCAGCGAGTCCCTGGTCCATGTCCCACTGGAGACCTTCCTAGAGACCCTGGAATCCCCAGGCGGCAGTGGTGGCGACAGCAATAACACAGGTGCAGTGGGGGCTGTCCCTGCCCCTCCTTCCTGCACCCCACCCCTGGCCACAGGCACCCAAGGGCTCCCCCCAGAGCCCCTCCTGAGCCTCAGAAGCTGTGACATTTCATCTCATGGGGTCCTTTGCTCAGTGCCTCAGTACTTCAGGCTTTTGTAGGCCAGACCAGGAATGTGACTCCTCCCACAGGCCCTGGTTCCAACAGAAAATGCTCAGAGACAGGGATGCAAAGGGTCAGAACCAAGGGTTGGGGACAAGAAGCCTTTGATTTGTCCCTGTGTTTTTTGCTGACTTAGAGAGTAACCCCAGGATAGTCCTCTCTGTGCCTCAGTTTACCTCATATGCTTTCCTAGGGGGTTGGGTCAGCACCCTGTCTTGTTCTGACAGCGTTTTACATGCAAAAAGCCAACAAGATGTTGCATCCCTTCTCTCATTTATGTGCAGCCCCACGCCCCTCACACTGTCATCCCTCTGCAGGGGAGGAGGGAGCAGAGCCGGAGCCGGAGGCCGAGCCCGCGCTGGAGCTGTCCGACTACCCCTGGTTCCACGGCACGCTGTCACGGGTCAGGGCGGCTCAGCTGGTGCTGGCGGGGGGGCCCCGGAGCCACGGCCTCTTCGTGATCCGCCAGAGTGAGACTCGGCCGGGGGAGTACGTGCTGACCTTCAACTTCCAGGGCAAGGCCAAGGCAAGTGTTTAGAGTCGGGGGCGCAGGGGCCGACTAGCCAGCCCTGCGGGGAGGGACCAGGGTAGCCCTGAGCAGTAGGTGTGGCATGACTTCCCACAGGCCTGCTCTTTGAACCGCCCGCATCCCTCCCACACCTCTGAGAGGTGCAGTCCGCCCCAGGCACGGCTTCCTCGCTATCCGGATGGCGAAGTCACCTGCTGGTGGCCGAGCCCACAGGCAGCCGGGTCCTTCTGAGGATTTAATTTTGACCCTGTGCAGTGAGGATTACTTTGCACTGGGGCTTCTGAGGGTCTCCGCCTAGAGCCACCTCAGTGCAGGGCTGGGGTCAACCAAGGCCCTCCTGCCCCACCGACCCCCAGAAAGCCCCTCGTCTGCCCTGCTCAAGTCGATTCACCAACCCCTCCTAGGCCCCAGCCCCGGGCCAGGCGTGTGCTCAGGCCAAGGGATGTGGAAGGGAACCGCACTTGGGTGGGCCCTAGAGAGCCAGGCAGGAGGGCTGCGTAGGGTCTAGGGCGCCGGAGGAGTCTCTTGAGCCAGCCAGCCAGAGTAGGAGGGGAGCTTGACCTGAGACGGGCAGAGGATGGAGAATCCTTGAGGTGAGGACCCAGTGGGAGGGTAACCCAGACAGGGCACAGCAAAGAGGGGACAGCGCGCGCAGACCGTGGGCTCCTGAGGAAGGGCATTCATTGTGTGTTAAAAATGACCGAAGGTGCAAAGGAAAATATGACAGAAAAGTCAGACGAGTGTGTGTGTATGGGGAGGGGGGGGGTGTTAGTTACATTGTGGCCAGAGTGGGCAGGAACCTTAAGCCCCCCCAATCCCATGTTTCCGATAAGGAAACAGACCAGCTCCGGCTCCTCCCAGGACACAGTTCCCGTCATCAGTCCCTGCTGAAGGAGGGGGCACCCCAGGGCCCCAGGCCTGCACTGATGGTCACTGTCCCTACTTGTGGCCAGCCTGGTGCAGGCCCGCCACCCCAACTCCCTGGGCATCTCTCCTTGGTGGCGTTGGCCCCACCGTGGGGAAGACAGCACCTCCCCAGGGACACCTCCTTGGAAAGCAGCCACCCCTACCAGTTCCTCAGACAACCAGGCACTTAATGCTGTCTTTGGCAGCCTGAAATGTGCTTCTTGGCCAGCAGTGCCCCAGGCAGCCTCCCCGGAGGGCCTGGATCTGACTCACGCCCAAGCCGGAGGCTAGGACGGTGCCCAGCCCACCACGGGGCATGGCGGGTATAGTGTAGGGGAGGGGACAAGGCAAGAGGATCCTCTCCTTCCTGGGGCAAGACCCAGCCTTGAACTGTTGGCCCAGGGTGGGCTAAGTGGTGGGGTACAGCAGGAACCCCAGCGTCCTGCTTGTACACCTCCTGGGGAGGAAGACCTCTGCCTTCTGAAGCAGTTCTTTCCACCTTCAGATAATAAATCTCTGGAAGGCTTTCCTGAAGACTGGGATCTACCCGCCCCCTGGGGCCCAGCTCTGCCCCCGGCCTTGGCCCCAAAGGCCCTGCCAGATTTGAGGCTGTGGTGGGACCTCACTGTGCTGTTCCTCTCGGGCCAGGCCCCTGCCCTGGGCTGCCACTAATGTTCCCTAGATTTGTTCCCACTGTTCTGGCAACTTCTGGCCCTGCTGAGTGGCAGGACTCACTCCTGGGACCCCCCACCATGGGGTGGGGGGGCTTCTCTATCCTTTGAGTAAGCAGCTAGGCCAGCTCCGTCTCCTGGGCAGAGCCATGTGCATACCCTGAAACCTTCCTGTCACCACCCCTCTTGCCACACGCATCCCAGTGACAGCCCCTCTTCCTCCTGTGGGATATATATTGAGTAAAATAGGGCTGAAGCCAGAGACCTGCGGCTCACCACAGGCCTGTGGCTCCTCTCCCCGAGGTGCCCTGTCCCATGTGGGCTGGAGACCCAGAGAGGAGCCAGCCCTATTCCTCGTGCTCCAGGTGCTCCCCGCAGCACAGCTGAGAAGCACACGCAGCCACTCCGCAGCCAGCCTGGGGTGGGTTCCACCCCTCTGGGCCTTGTCTCTGCGGTCACTGCCGGTAGACCTCTCGCCTTCTGGGGTGGGAGAATCACAAACATGAGTTCTCCTCCAAGCTCTCTGCCCTGTGACTATGGGGGAGTCACTCACTCCCTGTGCCTCAGTTTCCCCATCCATAACATAGGGGCTGTAATCTCTACCTTCTAGGGCTTTTGGAGGACTAGAGATGGGGGGTGAAGGACATGATGTGGGTGCTCCCAGTATACAAATGCCTGCTCCCTTCAGTCCCAGCCTGGCTGTTGCCCCCATTCCCTACCCCCACAACAGAAGTGACACCCCCCACAAGATGGGGCTCACATGTGAGGGAGCCCTGGCTCTGACACAGCCCCATGGGACCTCTGTGAGACTTGGTCCTCCCAATGACCCCTAAAGGCACTTGCCAGGCAGGTGGCCAGTCCAGAACCCCACCACTGAGTCCGCCCACCTGTGCCCACAGCACCTGCGCCTGTCCTTGAACGGCCACGGGCAGTGCCACGTACAGCACCTGTGGTTCCAGTCTGTGCTTGACATGCTCCGCCACTTCCACACCCACCCCATCCCGCTGGAGTCAGGTGGCTCAGCAGACATCACCCTGCGCAGCTATGTGCGGGCCCAGGGCCCCCCACCTGGTAAGACACCCCCGCTCCTGGCCGTGGATGGCTCAAGACAGACAGGTGGGCAGTGCGGGAAGGGAGGCACCCTCAGGCTGTCACCTAGCATTGCTAGTCCCACTGGGATAAGCGCCAGCGCAGTTGTAAGCAACCCGGGCCGTGAGGCTGGAAGGCAGAGTGGCAGCCCCACGGGTGCGGGTCCTGAGTGGTTCCTGGCAGGGAGCAGGGGGTCGGAGTCCAGCACACACGGATTGAGGGCCCTGTGTGTGCACTGCCGTCCATACCCCTGAGACTGGCTGTCCAGGGAACTGGGCTGGAACCAGGAGAGCTGCATGCGGGGCCTGGCTCCTTGTGTGACACCCATTCATCCCTCTGGCTCTCTGGGCCCCCTGCCTGACACGCTGGGCTGGAGGAGAGGGGGCGCGGGGCAGGCTCGGCCCTCACGGGCGGCTGTCCCGTTGCAGACCCGGGGCCCGCGCCCCCCGCCACGCCCGCGCCCCCCGCCTGCTGGAGCGAGCCGCCCGGCCAGCACTACTTCTCCAGCCTCGCTGCCACCGCCTGCCCGCCCGCCTCGCCCTCGGAGCCGGGCGGCGCCTCGTCTTCGTCCGCCTCGTCGTCCTCGGCCGCATCTGGGCCCGGCGGCGCGCGCGCCCCCACCGAGGGTCCGCTCAGCGCGCGCAGCCGCAGCAACAGCGCCGAGCGCCTTCTGGAGGCGGCGGGGGGCGCCGAGGAGCCCCCGGAGGCCGGGCCGGGCGAGGGATCGCGGGGCCGCACGCGCGCCGTGGAGAACCAGTACTCCTTCTACTAGCCCGCCACGGCGGCGCCAGGGCCTTGGGGCCACCCGGGCCGCCGTGCGCCCGCCCTCGTGGCCGTCCATCCGTCCGTCCAGCGGACACTGCCGGCCCCAGCCCGCTGCTGGGTGGGAAAAGCGAAGCTCTTCAGTGAAGACATAAATGTTATTAAAGAGCCTGTTTTAGGGACTGCACCTGGCTCTCCTGTTGTCCTTTCTCCTGCCCCGGCCTCGGGCACCGCTGCTTCTGGGACTGCGGGGGAGGAGGGGCGCGCCAGACACGGGACCCCTTTCGAGCGCACCGTAGCCTTGCACGGCGAGGCCTCTGGCGTCCGGCAGACAACGAGCAGGCACCTGAATGAGGCACAGAGAAAGAGCGGGGACCCAAGAGCGGGGCACAGAGAGTCAACCCGGGGTGGAGGGATTGGGGAGGGGGCCTCACAGGAACTGAGAGAGAAAAGGGGGTGCAGAGCAGCGGTTTGGGGGCAAGAAGGAGGGGTGGCGGAGGGTAGGGCAAAGAGGAGAGGGGAGGGGTCGCTGGATGCAGGAACATGGTGAATGAAGGATGGGAGGAGGGCCAGGTCATGCGAGCCTTGAATGCCAGGATGAGGAGTTGGACTCTGGCCAGGAGAGAGTAACTACATCCTTGACCAGGTCAGTGGGGTTGTGGGCAGGATTCCTCCACGTTAGCCCACTGGGAGACTGGGCAACGGGAGAGGCTTGGTTTCCTATCTTTGACCTAGACTCAAACTTGGAAGTGGCCTCTAGGGCCCTCCCACCCCCACTCCCCCACCCCATGTGTCCCTGCAGGCAGAGGTCCAGCTGTGGCTCCCACCTGGAAACATTTCAGACCCCCAGACAGCTTATCCTCCAGGGACCCACGTGCCCTTCCCCGTATAAGAGGGCTAGCACCCTTGGTGGGTTTCCAGGGCTTTGCTGCTCCGGCTACGCAGTCCTGCCTCACGAAATGATGGGAAGTGACTGAGCAGCGCTCCTGCTACCCCCACGGAGAGGGAGACGGGCCACGCTGGTGCTCCGGAGAGCAGCCAGCCCCTGGGCTTCCAGCGCCTCCATCCGAGCTGCTGGAGCCCCTCTGCGCTCTTGCGCCCGGCCGGGTGGTTTGAGATCTGTGCCTGGCCAAGTGCCAGCCCACATCCCACCCTCACCGGAGCAGACGAGGGTCTGGGGCCGGCTCAGGCTGGGCAGAGGCTGGGGGCTGGTGAGAGCTCTGTGTGGCTGTCACCTTTGCTGAATTGGGGACCCAGAGTGTGAGAAAGTGAGAGAGGGTCTGCGTGCATTCTAAGGATGGCAATCAGGCAGGTTCCTGGGGTGTTCCCAGGTTAAAGTGAATTCAGAGGAGAATGGCAAAGATGACAGCCACCTCCCTGGGCTCTCCCAAGGGGTGTGGCCTGAAGGCCCAGCAGCAAGGAGGTCAAGTGAAAACGGGGGCTCTCTCCGCAGTGTGGCCCCCAGGGTGAGACCCTCAGGCCTGTCACACAAAGTGGTGCTTCCAGAAAGCTCAGACGGACGTGGTGAGACTCTGGGGAAACCACAGCTGTTACACAGATGGTGGCAGCACCTTCAAGGTGACTGCCTTTGCTCCTTAACCAGCATTTCAGGCGCCTGCGCTGTGCCAGGCCAGGCCCATGGATAGCTGGGCAGGCAGCCGGGCAGGCCCATCGCAGTGTGATGGGCACCCAGAGGGCTGCCCATGCACTAGGGCCATAGGGAGGGTGTGCCCTGGCTGACTATGAGGTCATGGGGGCGGAGAGGCTGCAGGTGCAAGGGACAGGGAGTGGAACATGAGACCAGCAAGAGTGAGAAGGCCTTGAATGCCAGGCCAGAAATGGACAGCGTTAGGGAACCAGAGCCAGTTTGAAAAGGCAGCTGAGATGGTCAGTGTTGCATTTTAGACAGATCACTCTGGGGCCCAAGGGTGGGGAAGGAGATGGATTGGAAGGGGCAAAAATGAGTCCAGGGGGCCAGGGAGGCTGTGGTAAGTCTGGGGAGGGGAGGGGTGATGGGCTGGCCCAGGGCAGAAGAGGAGGACAGCGATGGAGGAAAGATTGTCAATAGACTGATGGGAGCGGGCACGGGGAGGGACGAGGGGCCATCTCTGGCTTGAGGCTTGGAGGACGGTACGACCCCTGCTGGACTCACTCGGATAACTACCTGGCAGGGGCTGTGGAGAACTCGGAATGCGATCCCCACCCCCAGGAGAAAAGGAAGAAACCTCTTACTGTCTCCAGCAAGGGGCTCCCAGGGTCTGCCAGGACCACACCATCCAGCCCTATGCTGTCAGATCTCTCAGCTCTCCCTTCAGGTAAGAAGTGGGGCTAGATATCCCCTATATGAGCCAGAGGAGGGTAATTTTGGCTACCCAAGGTCTCCAAGGCAAAGAGCTCAGAGCCATGGAGAGGCAAGCCACTGCCATTGACACACTCCCCTGGGAGGGGTCCTCGACCCAGAGGCAAGTCCACAGGGAGTCTAGGTCTGGGCCCATGCATTTGACGGAGGGTTCCCTCAGAGGGTAAACCAAGGGTGCAGGGGCTCCCTGGGAGGGCGCCCAGGCCCAAGCGCATGGAGTGGGTTTTCCCTTCCTCAGCCAGCCACCAGCCAGGCCAGCAAGCCGGAAAATGCTGCCTCCTGCCTCCAGGCATGAGGCTGAACTTGCTCCAAGGAGGTCACTGCCCTGGGAATCGAGGTATGTGTGCTGGTGGGGGCGGGGGGCGGGGCCACGCCTGTGCCTGCCCCATCAAGATGCAAAGCCGGGTATGTTGTGGCCCTGAAGGTGGACATCCCTTCAGAAATGGGGTTGTTGTGCCAGCCGTGAGTCAAACAAACAGCTTCCTCCGGCGGGCAGTCCGAACTCAGCCAACTTCGAGCCCTTTGGGCTCGGAGTAAAAGTCCTGGGATCTAGAGAGGCTCTTATATGCTTAGTATTAAGCAAAGCAGTGCACTAAGGCAAATTTTGAATAATGAATCTCAAGCATTCTCCCAAAATCCTTTAAAAAGGGAAAAAAGATGCATCTGACCAAAACTGGCATCCTGCATGTAGGATGTTTTCTGCCGTGGCCCTCACAAAATGTCAGGGGTCCCTAATCCCATCTGTGCCTCAGACTCCTTAGCAGTCTGGTGAAGCCTAGGGACCCTCTCCCGGAACGATGTTTTAAAACTCATGAAGTAAAATGTGTAAGCTTGCCAAGGAAACCAATTATACTGAAATTCAGCCAAAATATTAAATATAGTCAAAAAGTCATCAAAATATATTTTTTAAACTTGTGATGTGATAGTATATGTTTCTTTATTAACATTTTAAAAGCAATGGCTCTATTAACTGTGGTGATTTCAAAGGATGACGTGTGTAAACGGTAGTTCAAAGTTTCTGCAGCAACCAAGACGTGATATGAAAATCTCACTGATTTTGATGGGTGGCAAAGTGGCAGGTGCTGCCAATACTGCTATGGTTTCTCCTAAATGAAAGAGATGTCGTTTTTACTTAGAGGTTAATTAAAATCAAGATGTAATTTTACTCCCATTCGAGTTCATGGGCTTACTGAGTGGTTTATCCGTGAACCACTCCAGGACCTCAAGTTAACAACTCTGCTCTAAAGAGTGAAGACGGGGGCCAGCCCAGTGGTGCAGCGGTTAAGTGCACACGTTCCATTTGGCGGCCTAGGGTTCCCGAGTTCAGATCCCGGGCGCGGACATGACACCACTTGGCAAGCCATGCTGTGGTAGGCGTCCCACATATAAAGTAGAGGAAGATGGGCACGGATATTAGCTCAGGGCTAATCTTCCTCAAAAAAAAAAAAAGATCAAGAATCCTGATCTTGCAAAACAAATTGGACAAGGACCCAGGTCTTTGAGGTAAGAGAAGGCTTGTGTGGTTCTGGAACATGATCCTTTATTGACCTTATTCTCCCTGTTTGTGACTGGATGGAGATAGCCAATTAAAAGAAAAAGTTAAAAGTTTTATGCCCATGTAGATTTATGCATCATAATTTTCCATTTGGAACTTTTAAAGTTGGATAAATGTTTTGAAAACTAATTGAGATTAAAATTTGGTGCTTGGGAGCTTTAAAGGATACTGTCAAATTTATATAGAGAGAAAGTAGATTAGAGGGGACCAGGGGCTGGGGGGAGGGGGAGTTATTGCTTAACAGGTGCACAATTTCTATGTGGGGTGATGAAAAAGTTTTAGAAGTAGATATGATGGTTGCGTAACATTGTGAACGTAATTAATGCCACTGAATTGCATACTTAAAAATGGTTAAAAAGGCAAATTTTATGATAGATATATCTCCACAATAAAAATAAATAAAATTAAATAAACTGTTTTAAAAAATGAACAGAGCATCCATGAAATGTGGGACAACTTCAAGCAGCTAAATATACATGTAACTGGAGTCCACAAAAAGGGGAAGAGGAGAGACATAAGGAGACAAAAAAAAAACTGAAGAAATAATGGCTAAAATTTTTCAAAATTTGATGCAAATTGTAAACCTACAGAGCCAAGAATCTCAACAAATCCTAAGTGCAAGAAACATGAAGAAAATTATATTGACACATCTTTACCAAATTGCTTAAAGTCAGTGATAAAGAGAAAATCTTACAGGTAACTGGAGAAAAAAGACACATAGGTATTAGGATGATAGTTTTCCCATCGGAAATAATGCAAAAAAAAAAAAACCAAAAACAATGGATCAGCTTCTTTAAAACTGTCAACCTCGAATTCTATACCCAGCAAAAATATTTTGCAAAAACAGGGCAAAATATAGGGACAATCAATGAAACAAAAAGTTGATTCTTTAAAAAGGTCAACAAAATTGACAAACCTTTAGCCACGCTGGCAAGGAAAAAAAGAGAGAAGACACAAATAACTAAAATTAGAAATGAAAGGGGGCTGGACCAGTGGCACAGAGGTTAAGTTCACATGTTCCACTTTGTCAGCCCAGGGTTTACTGGTTCGGATCCCAGGTGTGGACCTATGCACCACTTGTCAAGTCATGCTGTGACACATCCACATATAAAGTAAAGGAAGATGGACACGGATGTTCACTCAGGGCCAGTCATCCTCAGCAAAAAGAGGAGGACTGGCACCAGATGTTAGCTCAGGGCTAATCTTCCTCAAAAAAAAAAAAAAAAAGAAATGAAAGTAGCGACATTACTACTGATCCTACATCATAAAAGAAGGTTATAAGAGAATGCTATGAAAGGTTGTATATCAAGAAATTAGGCAACCTAGAAGAAATGGACAAATTCATTAAAACATGCAAATTACCTAAAGTGACTCAAGAAGAAATAGAAATACTCAACAGAGCTATAACAAGTAAAGGGATTGAATCAGTAATCAAAAACCTCCCAACAAAGAAAAGTCCTAGACCAGATGGCTTTATGGCAAATCTACCAAACACTTAAAGAAGAATTAACACCAATAATTCTCAAACTCTTCCAAAAAATTAAAGACTTAGGAAGTGTATGAGGTGCCTAAAATAAGCAAATGTGCAGAGTCAGAAAGTAGAATACCAGGGGCTGGGGAGTTGAGGGAATGGGAAGTGATTATTTAATGGGGACAGAAATAGGTCAAAAGTAAAAGGAAAGAAAAAGATACTATGCTATCTACTAATCAGAAGGAAGCTGATGTGGCTATATTAATATCAGATAAAATAGATTTTAGAACAAAGAATTTTACCAAGGATCAAGAAGATCATTTCATAATGATAAAGGGGTCAGTTAATCAAGAGGACATAACAACCCTAAACAATTATGTAGCTAATAATACACATTCAAAATACGTAAAACAAAAACTGATAGAAGCGCAAGGAGAAATAGACAAATTCGTAAATGATAACCAGAGATTTCAGTACCGCTCAATAACTGATAAGACAGTAGGCAGAAAATCAGCAAGGGTATATCGGACTTTAACAACGCTATCAACCAACTTGACCTGACTCACATTTATAGAGCACTCCATCAACGACAGAAGAATACACAATTTCCTCAAGTGTACATTGAACATTTACCAAGAGAGACCATATTCTGGGCCATAAAAAAAGTCTCAGTAAATTCAAAAGGATTCAAATCACACACAATGACTACATGGAATTAAATTAGAAAATCAATAACAGAGAGATCCTTGGAAAATCCCCAAATATTTGGAAATTAAATAACACACTCCTAAATAGGTCAAAGAATAAGTCAAAAAGGAAATTAGAAAGTATTTTCAAATGAATGAAAAAGAAAGCACAACATATCAGAAGATATGGGATGCTGCTAAAACAGTACAGTCTTGTGTTGCTTAATGATGGAGATATGTTCTGGGACATGCACCATTAGGTGATTTTGTGAACATCATAGAGTGTACTTACACAAACCTAGATGGTACAGCTTACTACACACCAAGGCTATATAGTACTAATCTTTTTCTTTATGCCTTTTTTTGGTAAAGAAGATTGGCCCTGAGCTAACATCCATTGCCAGTCTTCCTCTTTTTTTTTCTCCCCCGAAATCCCAGTACCTAGTTGTATACCCTAGTTGTAAGTCTTTCTAGTTCTTCTATGTGGGATGCCACCATAGCATGGCTTGATGAGCAGTGTGTAGGTCTACGCCCAGGATCTGAACCAGCAAACCCCAGGCTGCCTCTATATAGTACTAATCTTATGAGATCACCATCATATGTGCGGTCCGTCATTGACCAAAACATCGTTATGTGGCACATGACTGTATTTTGGGAGATACTTATAGCACTAAATGTCTATATTAGAAAAGAAGAAAAGTCAATTGTCCCAGCTTCCACCTTAAGAAACTAGGAAAAGAAGAGCAAACTGAATCCAAAGTAAGCAGAAGAATGGAAATAATAAAGATCAGAGGAACTCAATAGAGAAAATCAATGAAAACAAAAGCTAGCTCTTTGAAAAGATCAATATCATTGATAAACCTCTAGTAAGACTGATTAGGAAAAAAGAGAAATGACACAAATTACCAATATTAGGAATGGAAGAGTTGACATCACTATAGATTCTACAGATAGTTAAAGGGTAGTAAGGGAATATTAGGAACAACTTTATGCCAATAAATAAGACAACTTAGATGGAATGGACAAATTCCTTGAAAGACACAAATTACCAAAGTTCATTCAAGAAAAAATAGATAACCTCGGTAGCCCTATATCTATTAAAGAATTTGAAAATGTAGTTGAAAACCTTCCCACAGGGGCCGGCCCCATGGCCAAGTAGTTAAGTTCGCACACTCTGCTTCGGTGGCCCAGGATTTCACCAGTTCGAATCCTGGGTGCGGACATGGCACGGCTCGTCAAGCCACGCTGAGGTGGCGTCCCACATGCCACAACTAGAAGGACCCACAACTAAAAATACACAACTATGTACTGGGGGAGCTTTGGGAGAAAAAGGAAAAGTAAAATCTTTAAAAGAAAAAAACAAACCTTCCCACAAAGAGGACTCCAGGCCCAGATGGCTTTACTGATGAATTCTACCAAGCATTTAATGACGCTTCACCAAAGAAGATGTATGCAAATAAGCACATGAAAGGATGCTCAACATCATGAGTCATTAAGGAATGCAAATTAAACTGCCTATTGTAATGTCTAAAATTAAAAAGATTGACCACACCAAGTGTTGGTGAGGATGTGGAACAACTGGAATCCTCATCCTCAGCTGGTGGGATGTAAAATGTTTAAAACAC